GCTCGACGCGTTCTCTCTTCGTTGGAGCGCAGAGAAAACGAGGGGCGAGCATGTACGTGACTACAGCAGAACAATATAATTCACGCCTTACTTGGGGTGCTCGCTCTGTCCAAACGGCTTATCTCCTATCTAGGTCAGAGCAAAAGCACGGGATAGCATATAATGGTTTCATTTTTCACACTTCTACATGCCATTTGAGACACGTGCTGTGCCTGTACTGTAGTATGTACCATATTCATTAGATCGAAATCCGGAATTCAAATTTAAGCAGCTACTAACATTCGAAAGCAGAACAATAGTTAACATATAAAAAGGGGCGGAAGTGGTGTAGTGGCAAGTGGCACGCTTACCACGCGAGCGGTCCGGGGATCAAATCCTGGGTCGTGAGTCGCCCGGGCCAACCAAGCCTTCCATCCCTCCGGGGTCGGTTAATTGGTACCAGACTTGTCTGGGAGGATAAAAACACTGACTTGTACATCGGCTGGCCCCCGCAAGTCATTGTATAGGCCACATCGCATTCAAACGCCACTACGAATGTACAAATGGAAGTAGAATGCGTGCCGCATCCCAAAAGGGATTGATCAACGGCAAATGCTTTATCCTTTTTATCCTTTAAAAATCTACGCATATGTAAAGTTATCTTTGAATGGGTAATGGCACTAAAAAATCGCTCAAAGTTGTATTGTGACAGCGATTAAATCAATTATTTTGCTTCACGAAAAGGCACATTATATCCATGACCATACCTGATCATCGTGCCTGCAGTTGCATCCAAATTTCGTTTTTGGACAACACATGAAGTATGAGTTGTAAATCATTCGAAAGGGCTCCTATAGTAGGAAGCTGGGCGACCAGTGTTTTGCCGCCCTTACTTGCCGCCCTTCGCAAGAGAAAGAACTGCCCCGATACTGTATTCCCTCAATAAGCCACATCAGTGCGCATAGTATCCATCCCACGCTAACATGCGGTAACTGTCGAAAACTTGCATTCAGTGCCATACAACCGTCATGAGATAATTAGCGGCGACGAACGCACTTTTAAGCGGTGTGAAAGTCTGTGTCCTCTAGGAAATCGAGGAGACTTGCAATCCACCTCTAGGAAATTGCCAGGTTGCGCATGGTCGTTTGAAACTTCCTTCATCTGCAATATTGGCTACCATTTTTCAGAAGTACGTAAGCTTCCTTGGGATTGAGTGCTAATAAGCAAAATGAGAGAAAAATTTTGATCACTTATTTTCCGATTTGGCCAGATGAGTCACTCGCATTCGGTGAGTAGAGCTATCCGCAATGGTAAAGTATGTGCGCTCTTGCATCGAGGAGAGGCTATGGTTCCGTCATTCGCGCAGCTCGGCTTTCGCTGTTGCTCGCGAAGCAACGGTGCGCGAATGACGGAACCATAGCCTCGCCTTTACGCTCTCGCTCAATGCCTCCTCTCACCCGTTGTCCTCCCTTAGCTGTTTGTTGCAGTCCAACCCGCCCAAAACGAAGGAGATTGTCGGTGTATTAACACCTTTCTATAACATTGGTTTGCTTCACCCCCGTTTTTCAATTCAAGGCAAAATAACCCCCTGCTGTGATCGAAAAATGTGCTCTCAAAGAGCTGCTGCTTATTTCAGTAATCACGATGCGCTTTTATACCTCTTCTTCATTTGTGTGTAATCTTCCTAGAAGGAAGATTCGAAGGCTTACCTCCTTCCATCTCAGGTTGACTTTCAAAAAGGGGTAGGAGTTCCTGCATTTGTTCCGGAATAGCGCTCCGTTTCGTAGGGTTCCTTAAAGTACAGTATACCCAATAGAAAATGTAAAGAAATAAACGCTCAAACAAACCCTTTGACCCTGATTTTGATAGTACCTCCCTGTAGACGTCTGCTCTGGTTATACAATAATCCATAAGCTTTAGACCACAGGCTAGTACTCCACTTCTAAAGGCAAATGTTTGTCTGTAAGATAGGGGGAGAATTTCTACAATCGAACTCAGGGCGAACCTAAAGAGTGGTGAAGATAGAACAATCGAGACTTTACAATATTTCTGGGGTTGTGCCTCCAACTCATTTCATTCGCGCAATCACAGTGATACTTGAATGCCTGTCCAACAGGTTTGTTTTCCCTACGAGGAACCATCGATGAACGAGTCTACATTTTTGCACCCTAGGCAGTCTATACTGCGAATCACCCATCATGATAGCGGTTTTCACCCGACCACCAGCATACGCATACGATCGGAGCCGACCTTACCATAATATTGATTTCTTAGCAATGGTTATGACACTGCTTCCACAATAATGCAGTTATGCATTTGAAAAAACTCACGAACCGTATTTGGCCAGAACCGTCGACCAGAACTCAGCGACCACTTCTTCCACTTCCTCAGGCGTATCGAGGCAAATTTTATCTGAAAGAGAAATATTCTTTCATCACTGTTGCAAACTGAGTGATTGGCTTGGGTACTGATGCAGACTTAAAGCCGTACTTACATGCAGACTCAACGCTACCGCACAACAGAAGGATGGACAGCGCTGTGAGAGCGAACATTTCGATTATGACAGAACCTGTTGACCCTCTTCCTTTTTAAGCATATTTGTGTGGTGCACTATGGTCAAGCAGTATCAATATATGAGGTTTCCATCATATTGGAAGATATGTTTTCAATTATTTCACAACATGTACTTTAGAGAGCACGTTGTTTGATGCCCCTACGTGAGCTTGTTCTTTGTTGTGGTACGACTGTGAATTGAACATCATTACGTATCGACAGCAAAATATTAGGTCGGTCCATAAGTCTTGCAACAAACTACATTTAATGCTATAGAATTTTAGGGAGAACTCCTGAAAATCCGCAACATATTTCCTGACGTAGCATCAACCTTTGCAATTTCAGCCAACGGTCCAGCTCGTTGTCTGCTTACTTATTATGGATATTACACCGATTTCGCGAGAGGGCTCTCGGTGCCCTTAATTTTTACGAGTACTGCTTGGAATGTTCCGCAAGTCATGCTAGACCAAGGATTGGCCAGAAGATGGGCGAGGGCACGCTCTCTCAAACCACGGTGCAACAGCGCTTCACTCTGCTCAGCGTTGAATTTTATTGAAAACCAGTTTGGCTGCGCACGCATTCGCGTGCATGAGACGGGGCTGCAGCGGTAAAATCGGGCCCATCAGTATTTTTGTCTTGATTTTAGCTTTCTGCTCGGTACATCTTACTTACGCCGCAAACTCCGCCCACATCCGGGTGTGCCACGCCCAGCGTTCACATTCAACCTCTACTCCTACTTTCACCTCTGGCGTATTTTTTTCAGGTCTCTAAGTCATCTCGGAGCCGAATTATGAGGTCTTGTAAATGGCGTTATGAGTCACGAATTTCTGAGGCAGACCCCGCCCACTTTGGTGCATGCTTAGCCCAACAATGGCATTCAACCCTACTCCATACCTCAATACTTATGCACATTTTCCCCGGTCGCCGGAACTTCTAGGAACCGAGTTATGAGAGCGGTGGCAAACTCCGCCCACATCCGGGTGTGCCACGCCCAGCGTTCACATTCAACCTCTACTCCTACTTTCACCTCTGGCGTATTTTTTTCAGGTCTCTAAGTCATCTCGGAGCCGAATTATGAGGTCTTGTAAATGGCGTTATGAGTCACGAATTTCTGAGGCAGACCCCGCCCACTTTGGTGCATGGTTAGCCCAACAATGGCATTCAACCCTACTCCATACCTCAATACTTATGCACATTTTCCCCGGTCGCCGGAACTTCTAGGAACCGAGTTATGAGAGCGGTGGCAAACTCCGCCCACATCCGGGTGTGCCACGCCCAGCGTTCACATTCAACCTCTACTCCTACTTTCACCTCTGGCATTTTTTTTCAGGTCTCTAAGTCATCTCGGAGCCGAATTATGAGGTCTTGTAAATGGCGTTATGAGTCACGAATTTCTGAGGCAGACCCCGCCCACTTTGGTGCATGGTTAGCCCAACAATGGCATTCAACCCTACTCCATACCTCAATACTTATGCACATTTTCCCCGGTCGCCGGAACTTCTAGGAACCGAGTTATGAGAGCGGTGGCAAACTCCGCCCACATCCGGGTGTGCCACGCCCAGCGTTCACATTCAACCTCTACTCCTACTTTCACCTCAGGCATATTTTTTTTCAGGTCTCTAAGTCATCTCGGAGCCGAATTATGAGGTCTTGTAGGGGACGAAATCGAGCAACGTATCGTTGTGGTAAACCCCGCCCACTTCGTTACATGCCTCGCTCACCGATACCAAATGACTATCATCTCTTCCCCAACCTCATTCTACTATTTTCCCATCTCCGGAACTTATTGGATCCGAGTTATGAAGTACCGTGGCAAACTCCGCCCACTTTAATGCATGCTCCACCTGCCCACAGCACTTGACCCCCTTCCCTCTGCCAACACTTATACGCTTTTCCCCACACCCCGGGACTCATAGGAACCGAGTTATGAGGCTGGTTGCAAACTCCGCCCACTTTGGTGTAAGCTACGCCCAGCCTTGACATTTAGCTTCTCCTCTTCTCCTAACCTGTATCCACTGTTTTCAGGTTTCCAAGTCATCTCAGAGCCGATTTATGAGCTCTTGTAGAAAACGTCGTCTACTTCAGGACACGCTCCGCCCATTGTGGGCGGACCTCCGTTCACATCATGTGTGCTGGAAATACCTTAGACATCGCTGCCCTGCACTAATTTCTTTTCTGCTCTGTAGGCTTCCTCCTAACCTAGTTATTGATATTTTTATTGAGCACCGCTTTTCCAGAGAACGCCCCGCCCACCGAGGGTGGGTCTCCCCAATGCAATCTGGCTTACCGACGCACATTTATAACCACTTTTGTTCCAGTCTCGAGGCTGTTTTTGACTGTATTTGGAATCAACCGATGCACGCCACGCCCACTGTGGGCGGGGCTCCGCTTGGCTGATGTGTGTTTTTTACTTCTAGGGATATGGTATACCCATCCCAAACTTGACCTGGACCCTGTAGGTTGTTGTTCGCTTGATACCGAATTTCGTGACAGACGGACAGACAGACATAGCGCATTATATATAGTAGGGATAACCACACCACCCTGTGACTGACAATCACGATGCTATATCTGACGCGTTGAAAAGGGATCTGGATAGAGTATCGATCATTTGCTAGAGCGATTCCGATGCGACAAGGAGACAGCACTGTGGCATCTCCAAAGACTTGTGAAGATCCGAAAATGTAGAGTTTGGTCCCCACGTGCCTTGAGCCCGATTCAGCTCCAAACACGATCTGACACCGTTCATGTTCAAGTCGACTTACTATGGATTCTACGATTGACCATCCATCACATTTGCCGAAGATGAGGAGTGGGTACAGTTGCTAACAAAAACAAGCGGCGGTAGTCCAGCTCAAACGCTTCGGGATCTTACTGCTAAGTTCAACCTCGTCCAAGTAGGGCCTTCTCGGATTTTTGGTGGAACACGGAGAGGAGTTAAGCTCTGGAAACCCCTACGTGTAGATGACGCGAAAGTCAACTATCCACAGCTCGAATGCAACGCTTTTAATACGAAAGAAAAAGGCAAAGTTTGCTTTTGTATGACACCGTTGAACCACCTCTTGCTAAGAAAATTCAGAAAAATTTTGAGACTCTAGGACGGAGAGTTCTTCCGTATCCACGTTATAGCCCTGACCTCGTGCCAAATAATGCCCTTCTGCTCCCCTCTCCAAACCATCTCCTAGAGAAGAAAGCTCATCCTAACTATGATGATGTCAAAATCGACATCTGATCTTTCTTCGACATCCAACAGCTACTAGTGTCTTGGCAATAGGTTGTAGATAATGATGGTGGGTAACATGCTGGATGAATGGCAGCTTTTGTTCCTGCTGCATGTAGGTCACTGAGCATTTGTGAAGCTTGTTCTGAAGTTCTTGAGATCAGTACTATGTCATCGGCAAATCTTAGGTGATTTAGATATCTTCCATCAATTTTAATTCCTGTGTCATGCCAATCGCAGTTACGTATTGTAGACTCCAGGCAAGCAGAGAATAGATTCGGGGAAATGGGGTCTCCTTGGCGGACTCCTTTTTCCACAGTCACCTCTAAATCACGAAAGAACGGTCGAAATATTGTGCTACATCCAGAGTAGCATTCACTCAAGATTTTCGTATAACGGAGTTCGACGCCTTGTTCATTGAGAGCTGACCATATCTTTTCTCGCTCTACTGAATCGAATGCCTTTTCGATAGTCAATGAACGTTAGTATCAGTGGTTCGTGATATTCTCGAGCAGCTTCAATAATTCTACAGCAGGTGATAATGTGATCCAAAGTGCTGAACTTTCGTCGAAATCCTGCCTGTTCAATTGGCTGAGCTTCGTCTAGTTTCTTTCTAACTCGAGCAAGAAGGCATCGCGTAAACACCTTGTATATCACTGGTAGGAGCGTGATTGGTCGATAGTTCTCCAAGTCTTCCTTACCTCCTTTTTGAGAGCAGGATTCTTGGATTCATTATTGCGCTGGCCACTTTCATTCTGAACACACGTGAACGTTGACTAAAGCAACAATAAACGTTACGAATGCTTGTAAGGCCTCCAAGGATAAACCATCAGCTCCTGGAGCTCTTCCTCTCGGCATTGTTTCGATTGCGCAACGAACTTCTGATGGTAAAAACGATGGCACCGTTTCGCCAATTGGTAACTGTTCAGTGGAGGTGCCGTGATCTGATTTGAAAAGGTTTGAATAGAAATTCGTCAGTATCGATTCCATTTCTGGCCGAGACGTAGTTCTTAATCCATCGGGGCCTTTCAGACAAGAAATCGTTAGGCGGTATTGTGCCATCTCTCTTTGTTTTCTTTATGCTACAAGTTCCGCGCGCATGCGCTCTCCAACAACGGCATGAGCGGGAGAAGAAATTCTGTGGTCTTCAGCAAGGATTTTTTCTACAGTCTTACAAGTATGTCACATTACAGTAATTTCAATTCTTCAAATGAGTTAAAGCGAGGAAACGAATGCAGTGATTGCCACATGATGATGCCCAAGACATCGAAATACTATCAAGGAGAGAACCTGAAGAATAATGTTGCGAACCAATACCTAATAAGAACGAACCCAACAAGAAGTTTATATGAGTCACCAGTCGGGGTCATTCCGGAGAGATTCCATAACGACAAACGAATGGACTCTGAAAAAACAAAACGCTTACGCCGTATTCAAAGGTAGGTGTCCCATATCTGAAATACGCTAAAATAGAATGATGACCCCGTGAGACACTTGACCCTCAATGAGCGCGGAATACAAGTCAGCGAGCGATTGAATTGGCCAGTTTCATTGAAATCGGAAAAAACAGGAAGAAGATACACAAAGCAGCTCCGGAAAACTAACTCTGAATAATATCAGGTAGCGTTCATCACGCTTGAGATACATTTATGAATTTCAACATTATTTCTGTACTCTTGATCCAATTTTTTTTCAAAAGTGGAAAATTATGTCTCGTGTCTATATTACAAGAGACCCTGCGCTATTCCTTAGATTGCAAAATTAAAAATATGGCGATAA